TAGTGACAGATGGCAGAACAAGGAGCAATGGTCTCAAGTTGTGGTGGGGGAGGTCCAGGTTGGATATTAGGAAAAGCTATTTCACTAGGAGGGTGGTGAAGCACTGGAATGGGTTACCTAGGGAAGTAGTAGAGTCTCCATCCCTAGAGGTGTTTAAGCTAGAGGTGTCTTGGCTTGACAAAGCGCTGGCTGGGTTGATTTAGTTGGAATTGGTCCTGCCTAGAGCAGAGGGCTGGACTTGATGACCTTCTGAGGTCTTTTCCAGCTCTATGATACTAGGGCACTAACAAGTGGCACACGATTTAAACCCTGGGGCATTACGCATGCCCCGGTGCCCTAGTGCCCGGTGCACTTGCCCACTGTTTCTTCTAATGCTGAAACTTTGCAACCGATTAATCAAGATCACAACAAAGCTACTAGGTACTAGGCACTTGCTAAGGCAAGAGCTGGGATGTTCCAACACCGTCACGGATGGTAAGAAGGAACTGAAGGAGGGCATATGGTATATGATAAAGCGGCGCCAATCTAGGGGTCTCCACAGCCAATCCTACAGGAGCTACTAGGGGAAAAGTTTCCGACGCTCATGCACACAGTGCGCATGCACCTGACTGGAATCAAAGTGAACAAACACTTGAAGAACAAACAGTAATGATTACAAATTAAGGAGGCACTTAACTGCATGTAAATTCTAAATCAATCCAATGTTAGTAATAATAAATTTGATTCCAAAATACAGAATAAGCTATATGAAATCAATTACAACATACATATACACGTAAAAAGTAGATTATATATACACACACACACACACACACACTATAATTAGTTTAAAACTTTAGAATAAATAAACCTAATGACAATTTGGATGTCTGGAGTAAAAACTTTTTTTCATTTATCTTTTTTTTTTTTTTTTTTTTTTTAAAGAAAGTTCTGTGCTTTCTAGAAACCATGAACTTGCATTCATACAATTAGTGTCTACTTACTTCCAGCTGTCATGACTTCATGTTCTCTTTCTTCCTCTTCATCTTCTTGTTCAGGATGCCCTTCTTCTCTGTCTCTCTCTGCCTGCTCCTCCATTTCTGCTTCCTCATCAATGGTCCGAGTAAAAGAATGCTCTTGAGGATCAACATCTGCAGACTCCTGGTTTTCTGACATCTAGACAAAGGTGTTTAAGTTAGTGAAATCTCTTCTCACCAAATTAAAATCTGTAATGTTGTAATGTGGCTACTGCTTCAGAAAAGGTTGGACACCACTGTTCTACTCCATCAGCAAATAGGGGAGTTTTTAAACGTCAACTATTACAAATCATTTTTAAGGTGAGCGAGACCAGATAACCTGCAATACAGAGTACAAAAATATTGGTGTAGCAGTCAATATCTTTCTAAAGCACACACAAAAGCTCAAGTAGACATTATGTGCGTCTAGACTGGCAAGATTTTGCACAAACGCACCCGCTTTTGCGCAAAAGCTTGCCAGCTGTCTACACTGGCCGCTTGAATCTGCGCAAGAGCACTGACTTTGTAATGTACAAAATCAGTGCTTCTTGCGCAAATACTTTCCCGCTTCAACTCAGGAAAAAGCCCTCTTGCGCAAGTATACTTGCGCAAGAGGGCTTTTTCCTGAGTCAAAAAAGCCCCGATGGCTAAAATGGCAATCGGGGTTTCTTGCGCAAAATCGCATCTAGACTGGCCACAGATGCTTTTGCGCAAAAGCACTTTTTGCGCAAAAGCATCCGTGCCAATCTAGATGAGCTTTTGCGGAAATACTTTTAACGGAAAAACTTTTCCATTAAAAGTATTTCAGCAAAATCATGCCAGTCTAGACGCAGCCAACGAGTTTTATGCAGAATTACTGGGTGAGATAGTCTGTTGTCCTGGTATATCATAGGTCAGAGAATTTGACCATACTATATCCTTCTAGCATTAACACGATGTACATTTCCCTATCCCTCAAACTCACAGTTGCTACTTACTGACAAGTAGATAACTTTCTACAAATACCTAGCGGTTTGAGAACACTCCTGAAGCACATGCCTCAGCTACACAACACAGAATAAGTATATGACAACTTTTAAAAGTGACAAGATGCAGACTAACGTATCTGCAACTGTACTGCATTTAAAAGTTTCATTTGTTTTTCTTATTAAAGAAAAAAAATCCTGTCAGCTCTTTTATTGACGGGAGGTACTGATGTTAGTTTTTGCCATATTGAGTAGCTGGCTCTAAAATGGCTTCATCCACAGGCAAGACAAGAATATTTGTGGTAGCAGAGGGCTGCAGGATTCACAGGAGTTTATGCTGCACTGCCTGGAAGTCAATTTCCTGGGCTCTGGCCACTCTTCTAAAGAGCTCTTGAAACTGTTTTGGGTCATCAGTCAGAATTGGGACAGCTGGTATGACTGTCTTGTCCAGTGAGGAGGAAGAGTTCTGCAGAGGGGAACTTTGCTCGTCATCAGTGGGTTCAGGGTCTTCCTCTTTAGGAGGTTCTTCATCCTTCACCATCAACTCTGTCTTGGATCTGGTGTGAGGGAGACCTGACTGTTCTTCTTGCTCAAGTAGATGGTGCAGTATAATGTTTCATCAACTCTGTCTTGGGTCCGGTGTGAGGGAGACCTGACTGCTCTTCTTGCTCAAGTAGATGGTGCAGTATAATGTTGTCTATACGAGGACCATTGGTTCCCATAGTGGCCAGTGCCCAGGGTAACAGGTGTCTGGGATGGCTACGGTTGCATATACCAGTGATGGAGTGATACATTGTGAGTCTGCTTCGCAAGTCCCAAGGAGGTCTTATCTGGGTAGGTGAAGAATGCTGGGAAGAGAACATACTATCCTGAGGCTGGGTATCTGGGTCACTGTAAGAGACTGATGGAGCTGGAGATAGAGGCGGATCATCAGAAAGGCAGGTGCTGAAGAGTGGTGATTGTGGCACTGAGTGAACCTGTATATCGCTGTACTGAAGGTACTGTGGCAGTGCCGAAAATTGGCTCAACATGGTCCTCTTTGGTGACGGTCTGGTCATTGTAGGCATCTTAAATGCTACCACTGAGGTCTGTGCCAGCATCGGTGCAGGTGAGGACAGCAGGTCAGTGTGGGTCTGCTTCAGAGGTGTAGCAAAGGGGGGGAGGAGAGGAGAGTTGCTCCCGGGTGCTACACTAGGTAGGCGCCGGGCTGCTCTGGCCCATGTGACACTTTTGAACAGAGACCCGGGAGTTGGCTAAGTGCTCCTGGCTCTCTACATGCTGCGAGCTGAGGCAGCAGGGCTGGGCAGCAGCAGCGACCACTTTAAAGGTTAGATTTCCTTACCCAGCCATCCCATTCCTCCAGTGCCTGGCTCTGGGGGGGCGGGGAGGATTTGGGG